AACGGTTCCAGCTAGGATATCCGCTTGGCTGCAGATGTCGGCTTCCGTGGCTAACTTTGATTGTTCGATGATACCTACAATTGTTAGACCAATTATTGACTGGCCGAATTATAAGGGCCCCTCTCTATAAATCCCTTCATCTCCTGCTTTTCCTTTCACACAAAATATCCACCATTCAAGCGCCCTGCTTGTCCAATCAACCATCCAAATGTCACTGGCTACAAATTCTTCGGATGTGATCATCATTGATTCTAAGCCTCCCTCCCTGTTCAATCTGACAGCCAGTAAGACTACTGTTGCGAGCGCTCGTCCAAGGGTTTGAGTTTCAATTCCTAAGGAAAACCATACTATCATTCGTCTTAAGCGGCTTTTGCTTGTGAATACGGGCTGATATAGTATTTAATAGCATCCCCGTCGTTACAAAACCGTGATGAGAGGGGCTTTCCTCATTTTGCAGTTATTTACATCGATCAAGCAGGTAATATCCGCCATAAAACTTCGACTTCCATCTCTAAAAATCGTGACCGCATCCTGTCACCAGAAGTCACAACCCGATTTCTACAAGCGGTCTCGGCATTCGAAGATAATTCAGATAAGATTCAATGTTGGTGAAATCCTTGACTGCATCTTGTTTGTTAGACTAACCCGAAGAACTGGAATAGGTATACAGGCAACGCCGCCTCTCGGGCTGCTAAGTCGCGGAACCTCTGCCCAACCCAAACAAACCTATAACCTTCAACCAGCGGGGCTATCACAGACTCAGGCTCATATCGCTAGACAAATAGCCCCAGCACCTCATGAATTGCCAGTCCAGTGGCCTGAAAAGCTAGTCCATCAATCTGTGAGAACCAGTGTATCTTCGCAGGATGAGGTTACACCACAAATGGCAGAGACCGTGTTAAATTCCAAGAATATTATGATCTCTCTTGGGAACCCAAGCGTTCTTCGTCGGTACTACGAAAAGGTTTTCGAAAATCTGCTACAGACGAATTGCAGGATTCTTGCAAAAGTGTATGTCAGGCTTGTCGAGCCGCGGAAACAGGTCAAATTTCCCTACAATGGGCGAAAGAATTTGGCAGGGATAACATACCAATGCAGTCCTGATGAGACTAAGCCGCCATGGTGGCCGCTTGAAGTGCGACATCGAGAGCCAGATCATCTGTACAAAGCCGGTGAGTACTTTCCTTCTCTCTGCGCGTACCGACATACCTTGACTATCGATCTAGAACGAATCGAGCTGCTCATTCATATTCTTTGTGAATTACGCGCCAGCCACGGAGTCACTGCGCGCAGATTGAGAGCGGCAGATGAGATCATCCGACGACAGATATGTCCAACCGATCGAATAAATCTACTTGATGAACTATACTACGTGCGAGAGAATGAAGAGAAACTTCTCGATGGTACTCACAGTATGTATGTCTCCATACCCGTGGAGCTTATTCTGATTATTTGCAGGCGTGAATGCGAGAGTTTCAATTTCGCGGGACAACGTGCCGAACGACTTGGAACTTACCATCATTCAAAATCCCATTTGCGTAAGAAGCTCCCCACGCAGCCAGATGTCTGAAGCACAGCCGATACCTCAAGATCCTCTCATGCTCAGCGGGCCAATCCGAGAGGTTGCACACATTGTGCCACTCGATTCTGGGGCGCCTGATAGCGAAACAACACGGTCTCCTCACCAGATGTCCTTCAGTAGCCCTCGGTCTATTCCAACTTCCACGTCTGTATTCCCTTCAGATTTCGAGTACGGCAATGATTCTCAGACAAGCTACCTCTCTACTTCAAGCTCTGTGTGTATGGAGCATTACTTTCTTAGTGACCTGGACTATCAGTCCTATCTGACAGACCCTTCGCAAGAAATACTAGCCCATCGACTAGAACATCCCGCAACCAAAACCCGGCCTAGAATTGAAACATTCAGAGAGTCCGTGAACGTTGATGGATTCAATCAGGCCCTGGAGGGATGTGCGTGGTACTGATGTTAGAGACCCTTCTCGGTCGGTAGCGATAGTCGATGTATCTTCAACAACAGAGAGCACAAAGCGCAAGTGATTGCCAAAGTTTCGGCCGGCATTAAGCTACTCAAGACAAATATTGCCACCCTCATAGCCAAGCCAAAGCCAGGGTAGATTCTACGACCCTCTTGGGTCAGATTTAGGTACACCACTACGTCAGTGGCATCTCCATTTCCCTTCTTTTTTTTTAGTTCCCTACAGATGAGAACAAAAGTTTCAATAAAACATCATTATTTTTACTTTTTTGTTTTTATTTTTGTTTTTGTAAACTAAACATATCTATGTGGTTTTACAGCAATAGGATCGATCCAAATCCGTTTCACTACTTCCAACCACTCCTCGAAATACGTTAGTATTTATGTAAATATATTTTACTTGAAATGTACATACGGAGAATTTACCGCTTGTTGCCCCTTTCTCCTCTCCGCCCCCCTTTTTCCTTCTTAGAATTAAATATCAACTACAGCATTGACTCTTGCACCATCCGTCTTCGGGTCATCATTTTAAACTTTCTCTTCTGCCCTATCTGTCTGGCATCAGTCTGAATTCTCTCATCCCGAGGCGCTGAAGCTCAATACCCCATCTGGTATCTCCTTTGACCAAGTATGAAAATGCGGCCACAGATTGGCTCTGGAGAAGAACTCAAGCTAAGGCATTCCGATAGTTGTGTGCCACAAGGACACAACATGATATCTTTTCTAGTCCATTCTCTGTATGCAGACGTGACGTACCGTTCACAGATACTATCAGCTGATCGATCTCGCCTATCAGGAGACCTCAAAATTAGGCTTCCCATATCAAGAGTTTGCAGTGACGTATCGTGATCACAATACGGTTTTATAGCAAGTTGTAAAATGGGACCAGAACCGAAATGCTTTGCTTGCAATGGGAACCCGGGGGGTGGCAAGCTCTACTATTTCCTTCCTTACTTCCCGCCGATGAAGCACTATTCTGGATATAGCCGAGAAAACGACTCACAAAATGAGTTTGAATCTAAAATTTTCACCGTCGTGGCCATCATATTTCGCCAATGACTTTGCACATCGTATGTTGAACTACGTTGACACATGGCTCATCTTTTATGATATGAAGGTATGAACGGGTCTAGAAGATGAACAGGAATGCTAACTTCTTTTAAACAAAGAAAACAAAAAGCCGGTCCTGATGAACATGTTTCAACGCAGTGGTGAAATCATGTGGAATTGCCAACAAAAAGGTGCTCCTATTGCTGTGTTCAATTCAAAGTCGTTGACTCTGCACAGCCACCTTTCCAAAAGTGCATCAACAAACGTGGGCCTTGTTAATCTTCAAACATTTGACTCATGCGATTGGCGGGAGTCTGAGACCAGCTCAACGGACTGAGCAATGCGTCATAAACATATGGTTATTTCTTGATGCAACGGTAGGATCTTTTTCAGTTGACCGGATATTGAAACGGTCTCCTAAACTCAACCAACCTAGACCTGCGAATTCACTTACTGCTGTCCATTTGACCAGTTCCTTACCGCTTCTTCCACTTGCCTTAGCATCACCATGTCCCCACGTAGCCCATCGGGCTGGCCAGAATGGGAGGAGAAAATCTGGTCCTTGGCTGGATGCCCATCGAGCGCTGCCAGTGGAAAGCCCGCTCCGACACATATTATGGCCAATACAGGATGGATCGAAATTAGTTTCACCACTTTTGTTCTCACAGAATCTGTCTCGAACCCGGTTCCGAAACACCCTAATCCATTACAGGGTTAGCTCGGATTCAAATACTGAATCGTATTGAAAGATATTCTCAGTGATGGAAAGTTTCGTAAATTTACTGTAATACTTTTGCAGAGAATACTGGCATCTGTGTTGAGATGTACGATTGGACTAGCTGAGTTGCTGCTAACAAGCATCCGATTCACGAGATTGTTTAAGTCTGAACCCCAATATCAAGTACTTCTCGACCTATTTATAGTGATAAAATACAATAACCGAGGGTTCAGTGGAGTATGCAATTGTTAATAATGATGAAAGGTCCACCACTGCCCTAGCTGGCCCTTGCACATGAATTCTGAATGTGATATGCCTGAGGCATGGATGCTGATATCACAACAATCTGAAGGTCCGGTGAGTATGAAAGTATATAAATCAGCTTGACTCCCGCATCAGCACCTATCTGTGAAATCCGCTCAGAGCTTCGTTAAGTGGTTTTGCATAAATCATACTGCGGGCCCAGAATGATTATTCCCCATAAGAACGTTGTTCACCTCAATTGTATTCCACTGGTTGATGGTCCCGACCGCACAATATTGATGATATGATGGACGTCATCATCATTAGATTTCCGGATTGCCCTTGGAAAGTCGTCCAAAAACCTCTGATAGAAACCAAGTTCTTCTTCCATCTTCCTTACGTAGCTTTTGCGTCGCTTGTCGGAGCTCTTATCTAATATGCAAATAGAGCCACGCTTCGTGCATTCCAAGCACGGATTTCCAGAACTGCACTGTTGTTTGAGACATCAATAAGTTAACAGCTAAGTATGCGATATGATTCAGGATCCTTACTTTGGTCCGCCGACGCTGACACTCTTTGCAGGCTGCTGAGAGTCTTCGCATTTTAAAATCGTCTTGTAATACCATTTTTCCCGATTCTTCATCTACCGAGGTTTTGGTAGTTGGCGTATGAGGTCGAATCAGCCTGAGCTGGGAAGAAGACATCCTTAAGTGTTTAGTATAAAGGTAGACGTAGAGTAAAAGGTGAGCGGGGAATAGGAGGTCGGGGGAATTCATAATATGACTCACATCACAAGCAGTGAGAATAGCGGAGCAGGTGGGGAAAATGAGGGACCGCGCAGCAGTACGAAGTACAGTACCGTGGGGTAGGGCGATAATGTTGTGAATCAGGGTTCCATGGTTTAAGCAGTTGGGGCTTAAAGATGTAATCATCGTGGTAATGGCTGCCGCATATATCTATTCTTAAATCCCTACAATGTCTGTTGGCGTAAGTGGATGCCGTCAGCGGGGGGTAGACATCTCTAATATTGCATACAGCGTCGATCATGGGGGGGACGCTAAAGTCATGGGAAGCATAATGCCAATGCTATTACAAGAAGCACTACCCACTACTCGGGCCCTTTTAATGCTTAGCTAAGCTAGTCGCCCCAAACACCTCTGGTGTTGGGGCTCCGGTTTTAGACCATACTTTTGGGCCCGATTTTGGTGCCTAACCATACTTTTCACCCACCTACGTCTGGTTGGATTTGATTGGATGGGTGGTCGAAAGCAGAGTGGTCTCTATAGCTGAAGCATACCATTTGTTTTCGACCCACGCCCTAAGTCACGAGGAAAATAAGTTTCACACGACCGGAATCACGAGCGGGGACTGTCGATCAGTAGCGGAACCGCAAATCATTTTGACAACTTAGTTTGGATGAACCATGGAAACGCGCGCTCGGTGAGAGAATGCGGTTGTCATGAAAGATTCAAGTTTGAACTTAATCGAAAGCTTATCTACAGACTTCTGGCCCACTTACTTTGTAGGTTGCTTGTGATTAAGCCCTACAGCCCAAAAGAGAAGTCAAGAGAATTAGGGAAGAATCACCACAATCCCGGCCTCGTAATATATAGGATATTGTAAGGGGCCAGAGCTTTGTTGAAAGATTCTGTATATTCAGCGTCATGATCAAAATGCGCAGGGTGCTTGAAATAAAGTTTAGGGGCCGCAGGAGGGCCGGCCCACAACGACGACTCATGTCAGGGACCCAATCGGTTGCTTGGCTTCTAATGCAAAAGCCGGAAGACTTTATTTACGTAAGCTCATGTGGTCTGTCCATAATTGGCATAGATCTTTATAAGCTGTCTGCTAGAATTATCAGACTGGCGATCGGATTGGGCAGATGGAGAGGGTGTGTCTGGCTCAAAGAGAGTATAATCATCAGGGGGAAGGTTGGTGCAGGAGAAGATACATAGCTTCTAGAACGTTCTACAGACCAAATAGACAAAGAGAAGCTTGCCACTTGACAGGGGAGCTTACTCTGTTGTGAGAGCAACTAGGAGAACACAACCACGGATCGGGGTTTAGCCTACCATTCTGTTGCCAGAAATCCGCGTGATATTTCAAATACCTGACCTGCCCTAGCAGTGCCTCCTAAGGAACAAAGACCTGTTCCATTTCCAGGCTGACTGCCATCAAGTCTGGGTTTGCGGACCGTGTCTGGACCACAATTAGAACCTCCTTGATCTACTGTCCCATGGGTCATTGCTGGGATCTGCGCAGAACCGTACCTGGGTCTGTCTAAATTCACGCGCGGCGTTTTATTGGTGCTACCGGTGTTTCTTGTGTCCAGGGTCTCATCATGGTATGATAGTAGCGTTGCATTCTCGTGAGGTGGGTGGCGATCGAGGAGAACCTAGCTCGTGAGCCTTGGTTGCAACGGTTCACATGGTTGTCCTGGAAACTAGGCTCAGTTTCCTGTGGAAGGCTTTCCAATAAGGTCTGGACTTTTGGTTATTCTCTCCCAAAGAAAGACAATCACCACCCTGGGTTTGAGAGTATGTCAGTGTCTGTGCCACCACGTAGTAAAGATTCCAGTAAAGACAACGTTAGTGGGCTGCGAGTACACAGGAGAGAAATAACATTCAGCAGCGCAGGGCTGGGGATGGAAAGAATTGATTCTAGCGAGACCAAAGGGTCATCCGGCCAACCGCAGGTACAGTTCAGCGTTTCTGTCGACCACAAAGTCTCCAACCCATTATTTCGGAATCTGTTGAAGCACTTCAACCCTCATGAAAGAGACGGTGACCGTGGCTGAAACGGGCAGATGTAGAGTGCCACCGCGTTGAGCGATTTAATTGCAAATTTCATTACCAACTAGATCCTAGGTTATACAATGCCTCCCTGAATTTAGGTGTCGCCACTGGAGCTATTATCGATGGCTTCATTGTGAAATTCCACCCATGGCGCTATATCTACTACGTCGCTATTGCTATCATTGGCGGTGTCACCCTTATTGTATACGCGACATTCCCGGAGACGGCGTTTACCAGAAACCTAGCATCGAGTGACACTATCACTACATTGACTGCCTCTGGTGAGCGTGTCCGTCACAGTACGAAAGGCGAAGAGGCTGGTGATTCCGAAATCCAGGAAGTTGCCCCTAACGAGTCTGTTCATAACCGCGGATGGTTGATGCAAGGCCTCAAATTGTACCACGGCAAGTACACCCATGAGTCGATCTGGCAGATGGCAAGCACTACAGACGATGATGAAAACAGTTTCAGCTCTCTTGAATTCGGCGTTGAACACTATCTTGCATGACATCATCCCTTTTACGGTCAGTTAACCCCAGACAGATACAAGTAAATAAATACCAGAATGACTGCGTACGGATAGTACCGTACTCACACGAAACTTTTGTACTTTTGCGCACCTGCGACCTCACTGGCGTCTCCGTGACCACCATATATCCAGCTATCTCACACCACTGTTTCTGTTTGAAGAAGAGGACAGTCATGACGTGTTATCTCCAGAAATTTAGGAAAGGCTCGGGTTCGAACTTCGGCACAAGGCGCTTATACTCTCGCTCTTGGGATGCATTCTTCGAGCGACGCGTCGGCCCATTTGTTGTCACTTCAAGTGATGAGTCTCACCCTTTAGGTGCAATCGTTAAGGTTCGCCGGATACAGGCTGATTTTGCTCATAACATTGTTCACCTTGCGTAAGTTTTCCTCCGAATCAAGCCAGACAGCACCCAGGATTGCCTCCACCATAGTAGCTAATGCATGATCTGGCACACCTCTCTCAAGGTCTAGTCTTTGGTGGATGAACTTCTGTAAACCCAAAGCTTTAGCCCGAGAGGTCAAGTACTTATTGCAGGCGTAAGCCTGAAGCAGATTTGTGCCTTGCTCTACGTGGTGTCAATACAGTGTCCTCGATAGCAGGAGCAGACTTACCAGTGGTGTTACCCTCGCAGTACCAACGACGAAGTAGCATAAGCGACAAAATCGTGTCTCCTAACAAGGCCAACCTCTCGTTTCCTGCGGTTCCTGGTCCGACCTCTTCTAAAGCCTCATCCATCAAGCCTCGATCTTGAAAATGATATCCAATTAGGCACTCAAGTTCTGGCTCCATCCGGTATTGATTGAATGTTATAAAGCGCCAGTCAAGACTGTGGTAGGTACCATATCTAGGAATCATGTTGGCTTTCGGCCGGCATCGTGAGCTATATAACAGTCCTATCGCCGTGACCGAGGTCTGAATGGTCTTACGTCGGTATGACCGTTAGATAAAAGTAAGCACCAATATGGTTCGTAAACCACTTCGATATGTTCTTCTTCCGATTTTCGCCCATTCAATCTCAGTCACATGCGAAGAGCGGTCATCATGGACCTTAGGTAGCCTATATATCGCCACCGGAAGAGCATAAGTACATGACGTGATACACCCATGCCCATACGAGCAAGAGCACCTGAATGACAGGTGAATCGCAGACAAAATTGAACTGACAACAAACAGTTGACTTACTCCTCTTGTCTCGTTTTTTTGAATGTCGATCGCGGCCCCCAAACGCAGTTAGGTCCACGCGGCTTGGGCCCCTGATTTTAGCGTTTTTAAAAGCCCCTCAGTCCGTTCTCGTGGTAGATTTTACCATTCTATTTCTTGGATCAGAGGAATCTAATGGAGCTATCCCTTCAGTCTTGGCAACGTCCATCTGAAAATGGTGCATCAATTCTACTCGCCCTTGACCAATTGTTCTGATTGACAGCAGGTCGGAACTGGTCAATCAGCAGGAATATAATTGCAATTTGAGGATGCCATCTTCAAATACCACAAAAGATACGAGAAAGCATGATTTCACAGCTACCGACACTCTCACTGAGCGGAGAGGGAACGGCGAGGGCGGAGTATGCAAACGACACGAAATACAAAAAGCTTCAATCGGAACGGCTAATAGCATTGAGAAATCCGCGTCGAGATATTCAGTGTGATATGTACGGCGTTCCTCATAGGCTTCATGAAATACGTGGATGGAAAGATGCATCAAAACTGAAAATATTCCATCTCACCCAATGCAATAGCGTTCGTTTATCGTCACGGTCGCAAAGGCCAGATTCTCATTCCGGTCTCCTCATGCTTGAGTCAAATACGGGGAGCCAAGCTAATCCCGGGAGACGTCCCATAAAGAACATCGGTGCAAGCGCGAGAATTGGCATGTATATGCAAAGCATCCAGCGCAGCGCGAAGAAGTCTCTGATAGAGTTTTCTGTGAATGCTGGTCACATTTCGATGAAGAACGTTGCACCACCTTTGGAGTAGATACGCTCAGACGGATATGATCCAAGGTCACAAGACTAGAGCTGTCGCCCTAGTTCGGAGTCGACTGCGGCAGGGTCCGCTAGGTAGTTGGATTCGATCCTTGTTCGCAGATTCTCTCTCGGTGGGTAACTCGGATCTGCTACCCTCTAGCTCGGAGGGCATCCATGCTTCTTCGGGAGGCACGCTCACCTCGAGTCACGCTCAATTGGAACAGGGATGAGCTGAATGATTATGATGCCTTCGGCGGGTTTTTACCTGAATGTCAAATCCCAATAGTGAGATTCTACTTGAGAAAGTATTTGAATATCAGGGAACCCAGTGACATGAAGGCATCTTTGCTCGGGAACGAATAATAAAGACCTTGCCGGGTTGCGAGTGTACAAATATTTTCGATAGTCTATCAACAATTGACTGGCCAGCTTCACCGCACATATGTCTTACTATGAGATTATTGTGCTGTGACTATTTCAAGCTGGGACTGATGCGAGGATAGCAGAACAGAGTCACTGGTCCCGAAGGGAGAAATGTGGCCTTTTTTATGCGTCCGAGAAGGCGGAAGCAAAGGGCAGAACACTTGCGAGTGTAGGCATCAGTGATGGCCTCGGCTGACGTTGATGGATGGCAGGAGGAAGTTCCGTGTTCCTATTCATGGCACAGCTACTGTGGGCTATCGAAGAGTCGCCATCTGGAACCATCGATGTCTGAGCAAACAGACCAAACCACCGATTAATCGTCCCCTTGCTGCCTTATCTCTCCCTGCTCAATCTGTTGCTTCTTTCCTTTCGCAACTAACCTTTTTCAGTCTTTACAGTGTCAAGAACGCTCATTGTCTTTATCAACCCATCCATGATCAACTTGGTGACGAAATGCAGCACTAAGAGGCTCTCAATGTCTGCCATTTTTAGAGCGCTGGGTTAATCAGTAATATCACATGCGCACGCAGTCGACTACTTTCAATTTACCAGTCCCTCAATTTCATCACGCTCCCTCAATTTCATCACGCTCCCTCAATTCATCACTCTCCCTCAATTCATCAGTCACGTGCCCCAGTCATGTGTTTTTGGTACGTTCAATATCAATGAACCTGCGTAAGCGATCGAATTTACCTATCTCTCTGGACGTCTATCCGACGAAGTCTCTTCAATTCACCAGATCTGTTGGGTAGACCAAGACAATACAGCCATATTTTACTCACAACCATATGATTGAACAACCTATCTTGCCCACAAGCTTCTAATCATCACAGAATGAATTGGAGCAAGATTGAAACTTCCACATTAGTATTACACAAGTTTTGACCAAATCCATAGTGATCCAAGCCGGCCAACCAAACATACGAAGAAACGGTTCATGACTGAAACATACGTGTTTCGAACATACCTTCATCGGGTGTAAATTTCCGCAATTGTGGCTCGTCGTAATTTACTGTGGCTGTGCGGTCAAGCAGCTGCCCTCAGTACAATACGGTACATACCGTGTAACGGAATTCCCACTCAAAACTACATAGAAATATATTACCGATCAAGGGGCCATCAGCCAAACATTCAGTCTATCCAGTCTATTCAATCCAACGTCTAGGACATGCTTCGAGACCAGTATATGATGACTAATCCGCGAGTAGGCTTAGAGTATCAAATTCAGCAAATTCGCAATGCCGTGGTGAGCTTGGGGGCCCTAGTGTGAGGCCATCATATCGACAATGATAGCGTTGTTTATCTTTGACAAAAGGGACAGTGAAGGGGGGGAGGTTGGAAATATTTTCATGCTGCGATACATAAGCATGCGATTATACAACTTGGTTGCTGAGAATCTCACACCCATAACTTCCGAAATGTCGCTGGAGTTTGTCTTGCCATGGATATGACCAGCTGTCTGGTTGATATACATGTAAGGCGGGAGGAAACTCGGAGAGAGGGTAAGGGTGTCTCATGTTCGCCAAAGGATGGGGATCGGGGATTCGCCCCCATGAAGGGCTTCATCGCCTTGCAGGCATTGGCAATCACCGGTCATTGCATTGATAGCATCAATAGGAAGCTGGTCTTCTTCCTCGGTATAGACTGGTTGTCCATTGCGCAAGCGACTGATCTCAGACAAGAGCTCACCAATGACATTTCGACGGTATTGCGTCCCAATCTCATATGCTTCGGATTCACGAGCGATGCGTTTGAGTGCCAATCGTCGGTCCTGTAGCACGTGTTGCTTCCGATTCATGTCGATCGCTGCTGAAAATAATTCATTCTCTCTGGACATTATTGAGGTCCACTCCACGTCGGAAAGAGCTCTTGATATAGAGAATTCATCCAATCTGGTGAAATAATAAGATATTGACGGCCGATCGAGTATCAAGGCTTCATTTTTCACTTACAACACCGAGTTTTCCTCTGCCATGAGTATTGTATGTTCCAACATCTGCAGGCTTTCGCTGAATAGCCGCAATTCCGTTTCTTCGAAGATATCAAAGCTACCAGAATCCGATTCGTGCAAATAGAGCGAGGACGAGTGATCTTTCCACTCCTTGAATGTACCCAAAAACCTTTCAC